CCCTCCCGCAGCGCCTCGGGTGGGTGTCGGGGACAGGGAAGGGGTGTAGAGCTGACCTGGGCCCCCTGCCCTGAGAGTCACTTTCTCTGTGTTTGGCCTGCCGGGTGCGCCCTGCCTGGGGCCGCTCCCGGCTTGCAGACACTTGTGGCCGCAGGTCAGGCGTTTGTGGGTCTGAGAGCGGAGGATGTTAGCTGCTGGGTGTGTGTGCGGCCCCAGGGGCGTGGTCACCCGGGCCACTCTGGGGGGCCGGCCCTGCAGGGGTTTGCAGGATTTTTGGCAGCAGGCTGAGCTGTTGGTGCGTCCCCTTCTGACTTTGTCACCTTCTGACTTTGTCACCTTCTGACTTTGTCACCTTGCTCTATCTGCAGAAGCTGGGAGTGGAGACTCTGAACTTAGAGTGGGTTGTCAGGGAAAAGCCGGAGCACAGAGGGCAGGCCCAGGGTGCTCGACAGTGCTCAGGCCCCGTCCCTCTTGTGACTTGTGCTCCTCAAACCCTCGGAAGGACTCCGCTTCGGTGTGAGTCGGCCGGCAGCTGCGGCCCTTGGAGAGCTTCAGGATGGCCGCGAAGAGGCCGAGGCCAGGCTGGTGAGGGGAGCGTTCAGCCTGGCCCTGACCTCCAGGGACGGCCAGGGGGTGGAGCTTGAGTTCCATCCCTGACGACAGTGACTTACTTAATCGGTCACGGCCTGTAGCGAACCCTCCGTGAAAACCCCGAGCAGCGGCAGCTGAGGGGTTCCAGGCGGGTACCTCCATGGAGGTGCCGGGAGGGTGGCCTGACCAGGGGGCCAGCAGGCTTCTGCCCACCCAGGCTCCCCTTGGGCTGTTCCGTCTGTCCCATCTGGTGTTCCCAAGTCACACCCTTTAGGACAAACTGGTGTCGGGAAATACGACGCATTCCTGGGCTCTGTGAGACGTGGCAGCCAGTCCTTGGGTTCCGTCAGAAGTACAGAGGCCTGGAACACGCAGCTGGTGTCTGCGGTGGGGCCGGCCTGTGGCACTGAGCCCCTCACCTGTGGGGTCTGATGCCAGCTCCTGGGAGGTGGGGCAGAACTGGGTGGTTGGCACCCAGGAGCTGAAGAAGCAGTTGGTGTGGAGAACCCCCAGAGTTAGTGTCAGAAGTGTTGTGAGTAGGGGCGCCCCGGGGGGCTCAGTCGGTTGAGTGTCCAACTGGTGGTTTCGGCTCAGGTCATGATCTCACAGTTCGTGAGTTTGAGCCCCGCATCGGGCTCTGTGCTGACGGTGCAGAGCCTGCTTGGGATTCTCTCTCTCTGCCCCTCCCGTGTGCGTGTGTGCGCCCTCTCTCTCTCTCTCTCTCGCTCTTTCTCTCAAAATAAATAAAAATGAAAAATAAAAAAGTTTTTCGAGTAAAAATTGGGATTTCCCCAAAAGTCAGACAGAGACCCTCACGGGACCTTTGGACCAGGGCCACGGGCCTCACGCAGCTGCCGGGAAAAATTCAGGTTTCAGAGATTTAGCTCAAGAAAATGGACGTAAAGTCTCTCAAAACTTTTCCTTATTAAAATCATGATTTCTTTTTATTAAAAAAAAAAAAAAAAAAAAAGAGTTCTTCAGGAGTCCTGAAGAAAAATCCCAGACACTTCTGTGGTTCTGCTCTCCGGGGGACACTGAACGTGCTGGTCTTTAGTGTGTGAACTTGCTCAGGGGATGGCTGCTCCTGAAGCAGGCTGTGGCCTCTCGGGAGACCCCGTCCCGATGGCTGTGACGGAAACTCCGCTTCCTGGGGAACAGCATGTCTTGCACACGCGCCCTCTGTGTCTCCCTGCCTGTGCCGGGCCCGCCGGAGGCTGGTGTGAGCGGGCCCCTTGGGCTGGCCACACTCTCCTGAAGGCTCACCCTTTCGGATTCCTGCCCTCCCCTTCTGTCCCCGGGCAGTACGCGCTCTCCTCGCCAGCGCCCGTAGCGTTTTATGTTGTAGTGTTTTGAAATGATCGTGTTTTGGGGACGCTGGGTCGAAATCCATTAACTTCTGTTTCGTTCTGCCTTTTCGAGGGGCTGCTGGAGGGCCCAGACGTGCACGGGTGACTGTGTTTTGTCGAAAGCGTGGCTTCAGGCCCAAGAGGTCCCAAGTGGTGGTGCGTGACCGGCACCGCGGTGCTTTCGCTTGAGGGGACTATGTGGGGAGCCCCCCACCCCCCGGACACCCGCCATGGGGCAACAGGAAACCGTCACAGCCGGCCGGGAGAGTCCGGGCCGGGCCTCTCTCGTGCAGGTTCCTCCTTGTGGCCTTGGGGTTGCTGGGCAGCCAGAAGTCCTCCAGACTTCTGGTCCGCCAACGTGGGTTACTTGGGACCTGCTGATGATAATGACATGACACGCACTCGGAGTGACTCAGGCGACGATAGCAGTTCCGTTTCTCCCAACCGGATAGGCCCAGCCGCTGTGGCTTCAGGCCAGCAGGATCCAGAAGCACGCCCCGTCCCCCCCAGCCGCGTCTCCAGGCCCGGTTGCAGGGTGCGCTGCCTTGATGGCTCAGGTGGCTTGCCTGAGTCAGCCTCGCTGGGGAGGCCCAGTGCAGGGAGCGGGATGGGGGCAGGCGTGACGGGGCCTCCTCGGCTCTCCCGGGTGGCGCCCGGCAAGGGCCAGGACCACGGACGGACGGCTGTGTCGGTGTCCCTCAGCGTGTGCCTGCAAGCGGGCAGGTCCCGGGCGGGCGCGTGCCCCAGGAGTTTAGATGTTAGGAACGACCGCAGGGTCGGAGAGATCGAGCCCCGCGTGGGGCTCCATGCTAACATCGTGGAGCCTGCTTGGGAGCCTCTCTCTCCCCGTCGCTGTTCCTCCCCCACTAGTGCCCATGTTTATGCGCGTGCACTCTTTCTCTCTCTGTGTCTCTAAGTAAGTAAATAAATAAAAAGAGTTATCCTTTCTGTCCGAGTCCTGGAGGCCAGAGGGAAATCGGGGTGGCGGCAGGACTGGCTCCCCCGAGCCTCGGGAGGAGCCTCTCCTGCCTGTCCTCTGGCTCTGGTGGCCCCTGGCCTTCCCGGCTTGTGGCCTTGGCCCTCAGTCTCTCTCCTCCCATGGCTTCCCCGTGTCTGCATCTCCTGCCTGGACAGGAGTCGTTGAGTTTGGGGCCCGTCTCCCCCCAGAGACCCCACATCTTAGCAGACGACACCTGCGTTTCCAAATAGGAGGCGTGCGTGGGGTCCGAGTGGACCTGACGTTCGACCCGGGACCGTGTGGGTGGGCCGCGTTCTGTACGTGCACCCGGCACGTGACAGGCTCTGGGGCCGTCGTGAATCGTGGCGCCGGCTGGCCGTTCCCCGGGTAGACCCGGGAGTGGAACCGCGCGGCGTGGGGCCATGCCGTGGCGAGCTTGGTGGGGAGCCTGGCCGCTTCTTCCTCTGCCTGGCTTTGCGCAGTAGGCTCGGGGGCTCTCGCTTCTCGTTGCACGTAGATGTGTGTTTTGAGCCGCTGGCCCCGCGAGCAGGAGGCCGCCGGGCGCTAGGGTGTGGTCGGTGAGCTCTGCGGCTCGTGGGGCGCAGCGACGGTGGCTCCGGCTTTCCAGTCGCGACTCCCCTGAGACGGGAGGAGGTGGTTCCACCTCTCCGTGCCGTCTCCTGCAGATGGGGTGGGGCGACCTGGGCGTGAACGGAGAACCTTCCAGAGAGACCCCAAATTTGGACCGGATGGCCACAGAGGGGACGCTTTTCCCAAACTTCTACTCAGCCAACCCGCTGTGCTCGCCATGTAAGTTGGGGCTGGGCTGCGGGCATGAGGAGGGGACGGGCACCCGGGCGGCCCTGACTCCGCCGTTCCCGCCTTTCTTCCGAGCGGAGCGCCACAAGGGCTGGCAGGCGGGCGCGGCCTTTTCCCCTGGGGCCCGAGCCCCATGCCGTCACGGGGTTGGGAGGTAGAAGCCGCCTGTGGCCTCCTGGGACAGCCACTCGGGCCGCAGAGACGGCCTAACGTGCGGCCCCGGAGGAGCAGGAGGGCCGGAGGGGCCGGCTGTGGGGCTCGCGTGGGACTCGGGCTCGCCACGGTTTCTGTTCTCCCCGCGCAGCCAGGGCGGCTCTGCTCACCGGACGCCTGCCCATCCGCAACGGCTTCTACACCACCAACGGGAGGGCCAGAAACGGTACGCTACCCACCGACGGCGTCTGTGGGCGCGGGGGGCCCGGGGAGGAGGGCTGGGGCTGGTCACCGTGGTCACATGTGACCTTGCGTCTGCGGAGTGGTGCCCGTCACCTGGGCTCAGAGGTGCTGTTCGGGTTGTAGCACGTCGTTTGAAACAGACCGTTGTGGTGCTTCCGCTCAGGATAGTGCATTTTGGGGGCGCCTGGGGGACTCAGGCGGTTGAGCGTCCGACTTCGGCTCAGGTCACGGTCTCACAGTCCGTGAGTTCGGGCCCCACGTCGCGCTCTGTGCCGACAGATCAGAGCCTGGAGCCTGCTTTGGATTCTGTGTCTCCCCCTCTCTCTGCCCCTCCCCCGCTCGCACGTGCACGCTTGCCTTTTCTCTCTCTCAAAAATAAACGTTAGCAAGAGAAATTTTTTTTTTTAATTTTTTTTTTCTCAATGTTTATTTATTTTTGGGACAGAGAGAGACAGAGCATGAACGGGGGAGGGGCAGAGAGAGAGGGAGACACAGAATCGGAAACAGGCTCCAGGCTCTGAGCCATCAGCCCAGAGCCTGACGCGGGGCTCGAACTCACGGACCGCGAGATCGTGACCTGGCTGAAGTCAGACACTTAACCGACTGCGCCACCCAGGCGCCCCTGCAAGAGAAATTTAAGACTGCATTTTTTTTGAGTTTACCTATTCATTCTGAGAGAGGGGGGGCGCACGCACGTGCAGCGGGGGAGGGGCAGAGAGGGAGAATCCCAAGCCGGCTCCGTGCTGTCAGCGCAGAGCCCAGCACAGGGCTTGAACCCCCAAACTGTGAGATTGTGACCTGAGCCAAAACCAAAAGTCGGACGCTTAACCGACCTGAGCCCCCCAGGCGCCCCCAAAACAGTGCGTTTGAAGAGGAAGGTGGGGGTTGGTGGGCGGTCTTCTCAGGGACTCGGTGGAGGGCCCGCCCGGTCTCTTTCCGGCTGCAGCTGTGACGGGGACAGCCGGGCCCAGCACCCCTCCCTGCTCCTTGTACCCGGGCAACTTGGACGGTCGCGCTGCGGGGATCTCGGGGGGCCCTGGGGGAACAGGGGCATAGAGAGCCCGGGGAGCACATGCCGTGTTGCCCTGCAGCCTACACGCCCCAGGAGATCGTGGGCGGCATCCCGGACGACGAGCTCCTCCTGCCCGAGCTGCTGAAGGGGGCCGGCTACGTCAGCAAGATTGTGGGCAAGTGGTGAGTCCTGACCCTGCTCTGGAGCGTGCCCCGCGCCAGGGATGCTGGCGAGACGCTTCCAGGAGGCGGGTCCTCGGGTGGGAGCGGGAGTCCGCTGTCCTGCTCCCACGTCACCTTCCCGGCCGCACACCCTGCCCCCTGACCCCTGCTCGTCTCCCCTGGGTGCCTGTCAGTGCGGCTCGTCCGGCACGGGTGACACCGTGTCAGCAAGCACAGGTGCTCTGTGTGTGGGTGGTGTGAAGAGGCGGCGGGAGGTGACGGGCAGCCCCTCGGTGTGGGACCGCCGGGACCCGGCGATGGGACCCCGGAGGCTCGCGTTGCTGTGCGCGTTCGTGTCAGAAGCAGGGTAAACGGCTTCTTAGTGCCCGGGGTCCCCGGGTGCGCAGCCCTGGAGGGTAGGTGTGGAGGCCAGGTGTTCTCTCCTTCCTTTCCCGAGTTCCGGGGCCCTTGGAAAAGAGCAGGCCCGCTTCCTACCGGGAGCCTCTCCGGTTTTCCAGCCCTCGTGGCCCCCCTGCTGCACCGGGGCCCCTCTGGCACTTGCTGGCACTGCTCTGCCCAGGACGGGCGCCTCGTCTGTGCCCCTCGGGGAGGGGGGTGCCGGGTGCGCAACACAGTGGTCACGTCGACGGGGGTTCCACGGAAACCGGAAGAGTAAGGGTCAGAAACGCAGCAGCTCCAGAAGCTGCCTAACGAACGCGTTCTCGCTCCCGAGTCCAGCCGGGAGCAGAGCTCCCGGCAGGTGGCGGCGGCAGGGCAGAGCCGGTGGGGCCCCGGTCGCCCGCAAGGCCCCTGGTGGTGCCGGGGAGACTGGCAGAGGGCGGGAGCGAGGCCTGCGGGACCGAGTCTGGGCGGCGCCCGGCCCGGCAGCTCTACCCCGCGTCCCGCAGGCCTCCCGGGCGGGGGTCCGTCACAGGGCCATACTGGGTATTGGCGGCCGTGGCCGGACTTCCCTGACCTTCCTCCCGGCACCCCTCGTCCAGAATTCCTCGGCTTGACCAAGTGCAGGGGTGGGTGCGGCCAGGACTCGAGCGAGAGGCTGCTTGGGCCGCCCTGGGCCCAGGGGGCCGCGAGCGCTGCCAGTGCAGGCTGAGCGTGGTCGCCGGACGGCTCCGCGTGGGCAGGACCTTGGGCGGGGGTTGCCGTCAGGCAGAGGCCGCGCGAGCCGGCGCAGGCGGGCAGGCAGGGGTGCCGCGGGCGGCCGCTGTGGCCTCCTCCCCGCTGGGGCTGGAGGGCGCTGTTAAGTAACGGGGCGCTGTAGCGGTGCGCCCCGGGAGGACGGGAGGCGCCGGGAGGGAGCGCGGAGCCGGCGCTTAGGTTTCTGCCAACAGAGAGGTCCCGGCAGAGAGGCGTGAGGTCGGCGCCCGCCGTGTGGCGTTCCGGAGGCAGAGCGTTTTAGAGCTAGCCGTGGGAGCCGGGCCCCGAGACCCACGTTTCCTGGCATCTTCTTAGACTCCGTTGCCGGGCACCTCGGCTCTGGCCCCGTGTGGCTGCCCTCCCCCAGCGCACTGCACCCTCCTCGAGCAGGTGACCGAGCCGTGTAGCGAGCTCACGGTGCCCTGGCATCCGCACGAGCCACCGCGGCCCTTCGGAGCAGGGGGAGGGCTCCCCGGGGGCAGCAGAGGAAGGACCCTCTGTTGCAGGGACGCTGTGCGCGAGCTCGCGTGGTCACGAGAGCATGTGTGACCCCCTTCCCCGGTGGGGTCGCCTTGCTCCCCAAGAGCACGGGGCCAGGGTGCACCACACGCATCTAGCCGTGCTCAGGCACTGCCGGCCCCTCCGATGGGCACCTCCCGTTGGCAGGAGAGCCTGACATTCGGTGCCCCAAGAGGGAGGGTTGTCAGGGATGAGCGTGTGGGGCGGGGTCGCCTCCTCCTGATGCCTACAGTCCGGAGCCTGGTCCGGGGAGAAGCTCGGCCGTTGTCCCTCTGTGGACACACCCACCCGCATTTGGGGCCAGGGCGCTGGCTCGGTGAGCAGCCCCGGCGGGTCCTGGCCCTGCCCCAGTGTGTGATGAGGTCAGGTCCCGGCAGTCAGTTCAGCCAGGGCCTGCCGGGCCACCTTTGGGGGCGTGATTATCGGTGACCGGGAGAAGAGGCTCTCGACCGATGACCGTATCCCGAGAGATGGGTAATTACCTCACTGGGACACTGCCTTCCTCACACGCTCGGGGAGGCTGAACCTACAGACCTGTCCCAACAAGTAGGAAAAGGCTGGAAGAAGCTGGAGTGTGGAGTCGGGGCTGCGGTCGGAGTTCTGGGTGGTTTCGGGTGGGTGTGAGGCATCCCACCCTGCGTCTTCCCAGAGCCCTTCCTCGCATCCTGGAGCCATGCGTGGGCACGCTGCTGTGCCTGGCACCCTCTGTGGCCAGTGCCTTCTGCCGTTGCCTGTTGTGGGGGGTGGGCCTGGCGCCCTCCTGGAGGAAGAGGTCCTGGTATGTCTGGGGCTTAGTGCACATTGGGCACGGGAGCCGCACTTGTTTCCTGAAATGTTCCGTGAAGGCAGGGAGTTGTCGTCTGTGGTCAGAACTCTGGGGCACCGCTGAGCGGGGGTCCCTGAAGCGTCCTGGGTTCCTGTTTCTAGGCATCTGGGCCACAGGCCTCAGTTCCACCCCCTGAAGCACGGATTCGACGAATGGTTTGGATCCCCCAACTGTCACTTTGGACCTTATGACAACAGGGCCAGGCCCAACATCCCTGTGTACAGGGACTGGGAGATGGTCGGCAGGTAACGGGTCCCTCCCCCCCGACCCTGAGGACGGTGGCGCCCGGCCCCTGCCCGCCCCCCATGCTGCCATGGGGGCAGGACGGAGGTTCTGGGACCGCCCGCTTGCCAGCGTGCCCGGGCTCTGCTTTGTCAGCTGGTGGTTCTGCCCGGGGCTGAGGGACTCGGGGCCTGGGGTTGCTGCCTGAGCCACACCTGCAGGGGCTTAACCTGGAAAAGGTTAGAACCGTGACGGCGACCAGAGCGCCTCCCCCGAGCAGATGTGTTCGCACCGCAGCCGCATCCGTATCCGAGGCTTGGTTCGAGCCTGTCGGCCGCGCTGTTTGCCTGCCCCGGATTGGCCCGCGGCCGCGCGCCAGGGCACCGTGGGGCTCGGCCCTTCCCTGTGAGCCTGCCGGGGGCGCTCTGCTCCAGGAACCCCTGGTCTGGCCTGTCAGGCCCTGGTCTGTCTTGGGTTTCACGTGGCTTCATGTTCCTTCCTTTCTCATTCTGTCGTGTTTTGGGTGGAAATTCTCGTTGCGTGTCGTGGGCCAGAAAGCTAGGTCACGTCCTTGCCTCTTTAGCGGCCGTGTATCGAGACAGTCACGTGGCTCAGAGCGCACAGCTCGGCGGTTTCCGGCACGTTCTTGGTGCCGTGCAGACACGGCCCCCGTGAGCTGCCGGCGGCCCCGGGTGACCATTGACCCTCCTCTGCTGTCCTCTCCCCCTCCGACCTTCTCTCAGATGGGGGCTGCCAGGAGCCTCGTCCTCGAGCCGCCGTGGCCTCAGGAGCAGTGCCAGAATCCGCTCTCGTTTAACGCATCTTTGTTTTGAATGAGGCCCGTGACCTCCTGTGAGGTCGTGGAGGAGGAGGAGGCTTCCCTGGGCTGAAGTCTGGTTCTCGTCTGGGTCTGTGTCCTTGTCAGATACTATGAGGAGTTTCCAATTGACGTGAAGACCGGAGAAGCCAACCTCACCCAGGTGTATTTGCAGGTAATAGAAGCCCGGGCTGGGCAGGCTCCGGGGTTGGGGGCGGGCAGGCCGGCCTCCAGGGCACAGGAAGGTGGTGTGTTTTCCTCAGGAAGCCCTGGATTTCATCAAGAGGCAGCAGGCAGCTCAACGCCCCTTCTTTCTCTACTGGGCCATCGACGCCACTCATGCGCCTGTTTACGCTTCTAGGCCTTTCTTGGGCACCAGCCAGAGAGGGCGGTGAGTCCTTGGTCATAGAGACACAGACCCCCCCCCCCCGG